AGGGAGGGAGGGAGAGAGAGAGAGAGAGAGAGAGAGAGAGAGAGAGAGAGACCCCATTGACACCTTGCGCGCCGCGCGCTTGCACCGCTGACGCTCCATTCTCGTCCTCTTGACGTGGGCACACACCTCGTCCTAGACGCACTCACTTGCCACGCGGGTCACTCAACGCGCACGCCGAGCCGACCAAAGCTCGACGTGACTTGGCGATGGGACCTGACTTGCTTAGCTTGCCCAATTCCCTTCTCACTCGTACTCAGGGGAGCGCCACATCAGCACTGGCATCGCCGCCGCCGTCGCTTGCACAAAGGGCATGCCCTCCGCGCCCAGCGGATTCACAAGCATTGGCAGCGACATGCCGTTCATCAGCTGTTGTGGCCACCTACAGGGTGTGCGAGTGCGCACTCGGTTCGGAATAGGCTCCGCGATCGCACCCGTGGCGTGTGTGCGTCCGCACATAGGATGCATCATTGGCATGGCCGACTGCATCGGCAGGCCCTACTCGGAAGGACCAGGCGTTTGGCCAGCGCGAGCCGGAGCGCAGCGCTGGCTCACGCCAGCTCACCGGCAGATGAACGCGTACCGCCTGCACGACTGGCCCCGGCCGGATCGGCGCGGGTGCAGAGACGGGCGAGGGTGCCATCGGGGCTCCGGCCATCACGGTGGCGACGTATGGCAGTGGGGAGCCTGCGCAGGTAAAGAGTGGTGCCTCAGTCGACGGCGAGCTGCGCGACTTGCGTGGTTTCCTCCCCTGTGGCCGCATCCAGTCCTCCCGCGCATTGGCCTCTAGAAGGAGAGGTGAGAGGGTAGGCTGGACAGCAGGGAGATAGTGAGAGATAACGATGAGAGTGCCATTTGGTTTCCTGGAGATGCTATGATGGTGCACCTTGCGAAGTGCTGCTGCTGCTCGCCGAGGAGGAGAGCGAGTCCGAGCTCGGCGAGGTAGAGAGAGCGACCGCCGTGGCCATGGCGACGTCCCTCTCCTTGAGCAGCTTTGCTGGGCTCTCCGTGCTGCCCTCGAGCTTGCCCCGCTTTTGGCCACTGACGTCGTTGACCACGGAAGCCGCATTTGGCTGCTCTGCTGCCTCGGAGCCTGCGAACATACAAGGTCAAGTAATGTCATGGAGGTGGAGTGGCGTGGCGGAAAATTCAGCATGGTTGCAGCACGGAGGGTCAATCAGGATATCGTGCGTGTTGCGGTGAGGAGAGGTGGAAGTGTCTCAGAATTGTCTTGTCACCGTGCGCGCGTCGGCGATGCATCGTCAGCTTGTTGGACTCGACAAAGGCCAGTCCGCACTCTTCGCACTTGAACGGCCTCTCGCCTAGTGCGTGGCATACGCTCAGTGGATGCCGCTCTCGTTCTGGCGAAATGTGCGCGCGGTGAGGCGCGCCCTAGTTTCTTCGTTGCGAGATGAGTTATTCCGAAAGCTATTCCGCATGTTCCCGATCTTTGCGAGTAGAAGCAAGCACCAGGAACGGGTATTTCATTTTTTTGCGGGCTGCAACCCCATGGGAAATAAATCGGTGGGGAACTATAACTAAAGTGATGGTTGGTGGTACTCCCCTGCAACCACAGTCCTTCCTATGACATGGCAGGCCACTCTCAAGCATCAGATCACCCACTTGAGGAGGATTGACATCGTGGGTCGACATTTCTTTTTCTGCGAAAATTCCGGCGTGAAGAGATGGAAATCCTAAAACCC